ATACCTTGACAAGATAAAAACCACCATGGCTGACAACACACGAAGTGATTTGAGTTTGATAAGGAAAGACTTAAGCACACATCCACAGCTCCATGTCCCATAAGAAAAAACCTTTGTAGATAACATTGTCATTCTAAAGTTTATAGATTTTTTTATGAAGCAGTTTAAACCAACACTCACTCTCATTTGCTTTGAAAAAAGAAATATGCAAATAATATACACAATATGAAAGGCAGATAATGTAACATACATTAACAATGCCCAAAATAATCAAATAAATTAAATTAAATAATTAATAAACAAATAAATAAAATAATTAATAAGATAATTAAAATAGTAATTAAATAATTAAAGTATTCTGAAACCCAGAATTAGCATGGGATGTACTTGAATGAAGAGTGAAAAAAATGAAAAAAAGCTCTTAGAGTGATTGAAAAAATAATGGAATTAATTATCAAACTTATACATTGAGAAACATTTGCAACGAATGCCAAAAAATTGTGCTGTACTAATCAAGGCTAAAGGAAGATATTTTGACAAAATCAACATTTGACTATAAAATACATCTTTTTTTTTCCTTTTTGTCAAACCGTGTATTGAAGGTCGTTCTCAACGGATTCTCCTCCAGTTCCTTTCCCATGAACGCAAGTGTTCCCCCTAGGCTCCATCCTAGGCTCTACTCTGTTCCTTATTTTTATCAACGATATTCCTGACGTCATACGTTCCCAAGTAGGCATCTACGCGGACGACACTAGTATTTACTCCTGTCTAAAAAACAAATCCGCGATGTCCCCTGGGATGTTGTCTTTACGCTCCCCGTCCAAGAATCTGCTTCTGAGGTCTCATCCTGGGTTAAAGCTGGAATCGACGCTTTCAGCCCCTCAAGGAAATATAGGGTCAAGTCGCGCTCCTCGCCTTGGTTCTCTGCTGCTTGTTCGGCCACCATTGCCCATAGGAACCACCTTTCACCTATTTCTTAGTGACATGTCGGACTGCAATCGACGTCTCTTTGCCTCCGCCCGTAACGAGTGTAAGCGTGTCCTCAACGATGCTAAGTCACTATTTGCTGCTCGGATGAAGGAGCGTATTTGCATCTCGCAAATTTGGCTCCAAAGATTATTGGCGTCTATGCAGAGCGTATTGAACAATTGCAAACCCTCTATACCTCCTTTGTTCAACTCAGTTCGAAGTCCTGACCTCCTCTGCCGACAAGGCTGAATGCTTTGCTCGGAAATTTTCATTCAACTCAACGCTCGACTCTTCCGGTCTACCCATACCCGACTTCCCTCTTAGAACTGAGGCCCTATTGAGTGGGTTACACATAACCCCGTCTTTGGTGTTGGACATTATCTCTAATTTAGACCCCAACAAGGCTAGTGGTGGGGATGGGATACCAGCCATTGTCTTGAAGAAATGCGCGCCTGAACTGTCGCCCGCCCTCTCTAAACTGTATAACTACTGCCTCAAGGAATTTTATTATCCTGATTGCTGGAAGACCTCTTTGATTGTTCCTGTCTTCAAGAACTCTGACGACCCCTCTGACCCTTCTAGCTACCGTCCTATCAGTCTCCTACCCCTCTTCCGCAAAGTCTTCGAAGCCCTAATCAATACCGAAGTGGTTAACCACCTTACATCCCATGATCTGCTCTCAAACACGCAATATGGCTTCCGATCTACAGCCGATGTGCATACGGCCATCACTTAAACTGTCTACCAAGCTGTTCAAAATAACGGGGAAGCTCGTGCTGTGGCCCTAGACATCTCCAAAGCGTTTGATAGGCTTTGGCATGCCGGCCTTCTTCGCAAGCTCCAGGGTTATGGCATTACGGGTCAATTGTTTGACCTAATACAATCATTCCTGTCAAACCGTGAACTGAAGGTCGTTCTCAAGGGATTCTCCATCAGTTCCTATCCTACGAATGCAGGTGTCCCTCAAGGCTCCATCCTAGGCCCCACTCTATTCCCTTATCTACATAAATGACCTTCCTGACGCCATGAATTCCCAAGTTCGCATCTACGCAGATGACACTACAATTTACTCCTGTCTCAAACATAAATCTAGTGACGCTGACAAAACTAACCTGGCCGTGCGTCTCGAAAAGGACCTCCAATCGGTTGTGAACTGGGGCAGGAATTGGCTGGTCAACTTTAATGCCTCAAAAGACAAAACTGCTCTCTATTAATCACCACAGAGATCCTTCCCTGCCCTCCATTAGAATGTCTGACGCTCAACTTCTCGAGAGCACCTCTCTGCGTCTGCTCGGTCTCACGTTGATTGCTGACCTGAGATGGAACAAATACATTGAGTCAATTGCTTCGTTCACCGCAAGTAAAGTTGGCTCTTTGTGCCGGGCTAAAAAATTTTTCTCCCCGGAATCGATCCTTCAGATCTACAAATCAACAATTCGCCCTTGCATGGAGTATTGCTGCCATATATGGTCTGAAGCCCCTTCTGTTTGCCTCGGGGTTCTTGATAGGCTCCAGATGCGGATATGCAATGTAGTTGGCCCTGCCTTGGCGTCTCGTCTACAGTCACTTTCTCACAGACGCTACGTCGCCTCTCTATGTCTTTTTTATAAATACTTTCATGGTTATTGCTCCGAGGAGCTGCATTCGCTGGTCCCAGACTTCATGTGTTCAAGCGCCCTACGAAGCTGGCATCCTGCTCTCAGACTTTCACTGTCGAAACTACAAAATGTAGCCGTCTCTTCTACGCAAATAGCTTCATGTCTCGCACCTCTCGCCTGTGGAACTCCCTTCCCTATTCCAGTTTCCCTGAGAGCTATAATCTCCAACTATTCAAATGTAATGTCAATCAACATCTCCAGTTGCCTTGATCGATCCACTACCCTTCTCCTCATCCTTTTTCTATCACTCCTATCTGATCTTGCTCCAAATCTTCTGTAACCCCTTGCGTCCTAGTGGCTTCTCGCCTTGCTTGGGGTGAAACGCTTAAAAAAATCTAGTTTTGTTGACAAAACTAACCTGGCCGTATGTCTCGAAAAGGAACTCCAATCGGTGGTGAGCTGGGGCAGGAATTGGCTGGTTAACTCTATTACTCACCACAGAGAACCATATTCGTCCCCGCCACGCCCATTAGAATGACGCTCAACTTCCCGAGGGCACCTCTTGGTGACTACTCAGTCTCACATTGTCTGCTGACCTGAGATAAAACAAATACATTGAATCAATTGCTTCGTCCACCGCAAGGAAAGTTGGCTCCCTGTGCTGCGCCAGGAAATTTTTTCGCCGGAGTCGATCCTTCAAATCTACAAATCAACCATTCGCCCTTGCATGGAGTATTGCGGGCATATATGGTCTGGTACCCCTTCTGTTTGTCTCAAGATTCTTGATAAGATCCAGAGACGAATATGCAACGTAATTGGGCCTGATCTGGCATCTCGTCTGCAGTCACTCTCTCTTACGGACGTGCTTTCGCATATTTTTCACAAATACTTTCACGGTAACTGCTGCGATGAATTTAAGCGTTCTACTAGTCTGGTATCTCGCTCTCACAATTTCACTGCCAAAACTGTTAAATGTAGCCGCCTCTTCTACTCCAATTGCTTCATGCCTCGCACTTCTCACCTTTTCCTGTTTCCCTGATAGCTATAATCTCCAACTATTCAAATGTAATGCCAATCGACGTCTCCAGATAACTTGATCTATCCCCTATCCTTCTCTTCATCCTTTCCTCTATCATTGCTCTTTGTTCACGCTCCGACTCTCTGTAACCCCTTGCGTGCTAGTGGCTTCCCGCCTTGCTTGGGGTGAAACGCTTAAAAAATAATAATAAAAAGATTTCTAATAAAAATTCATGTCTCACTTTTTTCAACCAAACTTTTGAAATAGTGTATATGTATATCTACAGGGTGATTGAAAAGTAACTCCCTATTTTATGTTGATGGACTCCCCAGTTTAATTATAATTTTTACAAGACGGGAGAGTTCATAAAATAGGAATTTACTTTTCAAACACCCTGTATATGTTGTTTCCAATTTGGGGGGAATGAAAAAAACTTCTGCCTCCTCAAATTTATAGGCAACTCCTACAGATAGATGCTGGGATTCCTTTCTAACCAATCAATATAGACAGTTCTCGTTTTCATACGCCATTTTTCTTATCTTGAAGCGAGAACACTACAATCGCTTGACTGTATACCTTTCGCGTGTGAACACCATACTTTGTGAACTTTGCCTTACTACTGTTACTTTAGCTAGATTTGGATATCTCCAAGTCAAATCTAGGCAAAGTAATTTAGATTTATTTTGCCCTGTTCTTTTTCTTCCTTTTTGTTATTATTTATTGAGAACTTTGTCAATTCCATTCGTTGAGTATTTCGACAATTACACTTAACCATCACCAATTACTTCACATTATATAATATATAATTGTCTCTTATAATATGATATAATCTTGTTGATGTCGAGTGCGTGTGCTTCATAGAAGGGTGGGGGTGAACATCAGAAACCGATGACCCGTTGAAAAGAAATAATAAATGTTAGTGTAATTTTATTTGTAGAATTGTTTTTTGTTTTTGATTTTTTTTTCTGGTCATGTTCAACTCGCCAAGCAACGCGTCTCCACCAGGGAAGATGCAAATGTCGACTCACAAAGGCCCAGACATTGAAATCAACAACGCAGCAACGATAAATAGGACAATTATCGCTATCATTATAGAGTTGGGATTCACTTTCAGAAGGACATTTTTGGGGGGTTTATTGTTAGTTTTCTTTTATGTTTTTTTTTTTTTGTTTTATTTTGATCCCTATCTTTGTACGCGGTTCGAGAGAATACATAATGTTTTTGGAAAAAGGAATTACTCTCCATTGGTAGTTAATCGAAAGAAATAAAAAAAAAATCGAGGAAAGAACAGAAGGTTTGACAACATATGATCTGAGATTCACATAATAAGATTTCTTTTCTTGTGAGAATATACATAACAACCCCACCGCGTTTATTTCTTTCTCCACGATTTTCAACACAAAGCCTTCTGGGGCTACGGTCATATCACACTGAAACGCTGGTTCCCGTACAATCACCGAAGTTAAGCAACGTCGAACCTTGCCAGCACCTTGATGGGTGACCGCTTTTCGAATACCAGGTGTTGTTAGCTTGGATGATCTAACGGTTAATGACTCGAAATAGCTAATCAGAGAGCCGTGTTTCAATCCCATTTGAGTTCGTCATATTCACTTACGTGCAAATACCCTTGGGTATGAATCCACCTCTTTTTACCCAAGCTATGGGTTAATTAGTAAAACTTGTATTGCTAAATTATTATTATCGCCCCCAAAAATATTATAATCTAAAAATATTTTGGAATACTGGTTGCCTTACGATCACCGAAGTTAAGCAACGTTGAACCTTGTCAGCACCTAGATGAGTGACCGCTTGCGAATACCAGGTGCTGTTAGCTTGGATGGTCTAAAAGTTAATGGCCCGGAATTGCTAATCAGTGAGCCGTGTTTCAATCCCAGTTGGGTTCGTTATATTCACTTACGTGCAAATACCCTTGGGTATGAATCCATCTCTTTTTCCCAAGCTATGGGTTAATTAGTAAAACTTGTATTGCTAAATCATTATTATCGCTCCCAAAAATATTACAATCTAAAAATATTTTCTGGCTTGAAATAACATGCAAAGGCTTTGCCAAACTGTAAAATATCGAATAAATCAATAAAAATCAATTTCCCCCAGACTTTATCAAACAATGATTGATACTTTTATTTTCAATTTCGATAACTATTAATTATTTCTCTCTCATAGGTTGATATCTATATTATCAGCATTCCTATATGGAAACCGAATGATACAAAGTCTTTTCAGACATTGGGGATTTTTTTTTCACATTCGGAAAATTAATGCAATTTTTTGTTTGAGATAACCAATATAAAAGTCACTCACTACTCAGTTGCAATGATCAAAGCATTGCTTGCCATTCCCCTACAATGCCGTGTCAGTAGTAATAGACGCGATCCCATCTAAGTGCAAAATTGATCTATTTATATGACATCATAATATCAATCACCGTGCATTGTTACAGGCGGATACATCCAAATGAATACTAGAGGATGCGTGGTTTTGTCGAGTCACTATCTCTAAACTAGAATGGCCAGTCTGCACTATTTAACCCATATCTGGGGACAAGGAAATGGGATCATACATTTCTAAATGATATCTGTGCATAAGTGAATTTAATGAACACGAGCGGATTTCGAACTCGGTTCAGCGATGATTTTTGACACTCTCAGATTCTGTGGCTCCAGTGGTTGATTTTACTGCTAAAGTTATTTTATGGTAGAGTAAAGGTTATCGCCTCGCCAAGTGTGAAGATGAAAAGAGAGGAAGCAAGATGTGCATATTATGAGGATATGAAGATAACAATTAATTCTAGACGTGAAGAGATTAAGATCGTAGCGATCAAAGTTTGCTCTTCTCGGGAGTCAGTTCCACAGAAATTCTGCGGAAAAGCTGAGTGGAACTTCTTTCTTACAAATGGAATAGGAAGAGAATGATGATCATTCGATCCTGTGTACATGATATGGCTGGTGCTAGCTGTGATGGTCTAGATTGATGGAACTAAGGAATGCAGTCTGTCTAAACACATGCTTTGAAAATAGCGACAGACTCGCAAACGATTAGAAACATTTCGTTTGGGCGAAATGGGTCGCAGGGTGGAAAATAATTCATCATCCACATGGCCCCCGGGACGCGTTTGAACTTTGTAAATACTGGACAGTGAAATTTGGCGTAAACTGAAACAAAGCCATGTGGAGCGTTGCAGCTCAAACCAGACACCAGGTCCGTTCAGACCCGAAACCAGGTACGTTCAGAGCCGACACCAGGTCCAATCAGACCCGACACCTAGTCCATTCAGACCCGACACCTGGGCCATTCAGACCCGATACCAGGTCCGTTCAGACCCGACACCGGGTCTATTCAGACCCGATACCAGGTCCGTTCAGACCCGACACCTGGTCCATTCAGACCCGACACCTGGTCCGTTCAAACCCGACACTTGGCCTATTCAGACCCGTTACCAGGTACGTTCAGGCCCGACACCGGGTCTATTCAGACCCGATACCAGGTACGTTCAGATCTGATACCACTTCCGTTCCGACACGACACCAGGTACGTTCAGGTCAGACACAAATTCCTTTCAGACCCGATACTAGGTCCGTACTGACCAGATACCAGGTCCTTCCAGCTTCTTCCAGTCAAATATTACCCACAAAATAAAACCGTGAGATGAATTTATTCCAGGGGGAAAGTTTTATTCGTGAGCAATCTTCTGCTGTAGACGAGCGACGCATAAGTGAGCCGTGTTGAGGGAGCGAACAGTCTAACAATCGTGTCTTCCTTTCACATAATGCGCGATTGATCTCTTGTCCCTCTTTGTGCCTCTTTACCATTTTGCTGCTAGAGACTACTGTCTTAGTGAGCAGGCCTTCTTAATCCTGTCTGCTCAAACTAAAAAAGTAATTTATCAAGAACCCACGGTCTTATTCCACTCAGCAACCATCCTTGTTAGGGTCGTTAGACATTGTTCTTTGAGGTCCACTTCGCTTAGCTGATAATTATTAAGACAATAACAGTCGAAACAATATCTGTAACATCTTTCAGATGTTTTCTTTGAACAAGATATCGGCTGACACTGATATCGCTTCACATGGAAAGTATTTTGATGACAGATTATTGTAGAAAATTTGTGCATCAACCAGAAATTAAAGGGTAAGACGAAGGCCAATCGTTTTGTCCTGTACATTATTTGTATTTCGTCTCACTTAACCAGCGACGTACATTTCACAGATAAAAAGTGAATTCCACAACGAATATCAAAGAAATCTAATGATGTTTTTCCTAATGACTGCTTTGGGAACATTTTTTTTTCTTAAGACAGACTCAAATTATGCGGAACGATAAATAAGATGTTCTTGTTAGTCTACACCGATAAAAATCACGCCCCCCCTTAAGCTTCTTCACCGAAGTTTGCGTCTTGTGACAGAGAGATAAAGTTGTCTTCAAAGTCGCCATCGATAAAACAATACAGAACCAAAGAAAGGAACTTCCTGTTTTTGATAGTATGTTCCCGGCAATATTAATAATAATAATAATAATAATAATGATAAAAATAATAATAATAATATCGACCCTTGTAGTTTTAACTGCCTTTTTTGATTTTTCTCTTGCAACGACTTATTGACGTCTCTAATGAAGTGAGAGTGTCCGCTAACCTAATCAAGAAAGATCAAAAGCAGCCATTTTGTTGAATGTTAGATTTTTCCCGCCATTTTTAGCTTGTACTTTTTTTTAAGGGTGTAGGAATTAAAAGAGACAGGAAGATAGTAAAAGTCGGTCAGTGATGCGTTAATAATCTGTTTACGTAAATGTGTTTTTAATGCATGATTTGTTTGCAAGAGGAGAAGAGAAGTAATTTTAGAAATGTTATATCCCTACGCTGAGTACATATTCCTTTGTTAATGTGTATCACTCATTTTTATATGCGCGTCAGAACATAGACCCTTCGTATATATGCAAATATACTTGAAGGATGATTGCGTGCATTAAGGCATTTTTATTTAAAGGCTTTCTTTCCACGAATGTGACTGTGCGTTATAGAGAAAGATACGTGTACGCTTTACGTTTGGCGAAAAACTCCACGGCGCCGGCTTTGCTATGATAATAAAGATATCTTAGAAGTGTATATACATGTGTATATTATAGAGGAGCAAAAAACATAGAAACGCGCGCACACACACGCCGATACACACACACACACACACACACACACACACACACACACACATATATATATGTATATATATATATATATGTGTGTGTGTGTACATACACACACATCATACTCACCCACTCCCTAAAAGAAATGACAAATGAAAACTACAGACAAAAGTTCATTTTCTCCATCAAGACATTCATTTCTGTAGTTCCCTGCCACCAGCAAGCAGATTTTTTTCTCCTGATGATGGCCATGTTGGCCGAAACGAGTCGAGGAATCTAAATGAAATAATAATAAAAACGAAAGAATATTCATATATAACCCAGTGTGTCTAAAGATTTTAATTTTCAATATATATATATATATATATATATATATATATATATATATATATATATATATATATATATATATATATATATATATATATATATATATATGTATGTATGTGAAGTAATAGAAATGGGCATTTAAGCAAATCATTATAGTAATTCATCGAGTCTAAAAGAATCCTCAACAGAATGCACTGGACGTCCGTTTCGTCCTATATTTAGGACTTATCAGCAGTACGCATCCACAACCGAGATTTGAACCCGTACCGTTTCGATACAACTCAAGCGTCATATCACCTGTACGAACGGTCTTCAGTGACGAAGAAGAAAGTGAAAAGACTCGATATAGCGCCGTTACACGCAAATTCCTTGGTGATACTCATCCAAGTATTCATAACCAAACAAATTGTCTCACAAGAGCCACGACTTTTCTTTCCTTATATATGAAGGAATGATATATGACAAAGTAGAAAAAAAAGATTCCGTATGGCACGTTTCGTCCCTTAGGATTTCATTGGTGTAGGTTCGTTTATGTTAATGCGACTACACATGCGCACGAACGCGAGACGCTGGGAAATCAAAATTTAGAAAAATATATTTTGTTTTATGTGTTTTACGTATATAATCTATCCTGTTCCATTAATGTTCTTTGTTATTAAATATCCCAGATTGTAATAACAGCTTCTATCAAGAATGATGAAACGTTGTAAGAATCTGGACGTAAATTTACTATGCTTAAACTAGGGATTAAATTATTTATAAACAGGGGAAATTAAAATTCATTTTAGAAATTGATAAATTATTTTAAAATACATATAATGTATTGATCAGATAAAATGATCAGAGAGATTAACAGATAAATTAATAAAATTGACATAGGTGCCTGTGTGAGGGTGTTGGTGTAGATAGATATGAACAAACTGAAATA